AATTTAAGGGTAAATGACTTAAACATACTCTCAATTTTTAGAAATTAACTTAAACATACCTTGAGGTTTTAAGATAAACTTAAACATACATTATGATTGACCCCATTGGACTTAAGCATACCTAGGGTTGTCATTGGGTTCGGTCTGCGTGATAGACCTAAATCAACCAGACCAATTATAAGGGTTCTAGTTCCATGATCTTGTCCTAATTAATAATTGGGTTGGTTTCGGTTTTTGTATCTCCCAAACCAATTCGGACCCAAAACTGATATTATTATTATTATTATTATATTTTCTTAATTTTCTTATAATTTTTATAATATTTCATGTTTGAAATGGTAAATTTGATAGATTATAAATAAGATAATATTAGTTAAAAATGTTTAATTTATTGGTATATAAATAATTTAGTATTTTTCTATCAATTTTATTAAAGTTATATTATCAAATTTTAAAATTTAAGTTATTATTTAAAGGGAAAATCTCTTAAAGTACCCCCAAGTTTTAGGAAATTGACTCGTTCTACACCTATTGTTTAGAAATTATCTTAGAGTGCCCTTAAGTTTTTTGAGAATTTACTAAACTTTCCCCTGCCGTTAGTATTTGTTAATGTTCCATCACAATTCATTCACATGACATCATGTGACTTAAATATTTTTTTTGAACCCAAAATTACCCTTTTGTAGTCAACTTTGCCCTTCATTGTTTTTTAGATTTTCAAAATATATAAAACCTAAGAGATTGAAATAAGATTTTTCCAAGAAACAAATACATTAAAACTAGGAACATCAAATAAGTAAGTAGACTCAGTTTTTGTAATGTTGATATCTCTTGTTTACTACATAAATTATTCTCTCTACTTTAGTACATAAAAGAATTTCTATTCTTTTTCCTTTTTCTCTAATGTTCTAGGAAATATTAGAATGAGCTTCTGATTATCTCATCTTATTGAAACCTTGATTTTTCCCATTACCTGACATCTTAATTCTTTGTCAAATTCTTCTTCCATTGAGCTCCTTAAATTTCATGTTGCATACATAATGGGAAAACCAACTCTTTACTTCATGGATGAACGGTTAGAGTCATTGCCCACCAAAATCACGAAAAAGGGAGTGATGGGTCTCCCAGATAATTGCAATTAAACCAAAAAATGACTCCCAGACCTTGTCACCATAGATCTAGGTAAGCTGAGAGAGAGAGAAGGGGTTAGGCACCCCTTTCTCTGTTCAGTGCAAATATTACTTCCATTTCCTAAAATCACACAAGAAAAAGGTAGCATAAGAAGAAAGGTGTCTTTTACTTGCAATGGATGGGAACTTCTATAACCGGGCATCCTTTCCTTAGCATTTAATCTCCTTTTAAGTGCAAGGGCCCGAGCAAAAGGGCGAGAAACCACATCCTCACCCCTTTTCTATTAGAACCCCACGATCTTACTTGGTTAATCAACTGGAGGAAGGAGAAAGACCTTTAATTGCTTCTTTTGATTGCAAGAAGATGCAGACAATCTCTTGTCCTTGAGAAAACCCAAAAGAGTAGTAAAAATAAATGAATGAAACTGCAAAGGAGATGAGATATGAATCTCATCTTTTGTAGCCTTTGAATTAAGAAATCGATGTTGTTTAAACTCAGAGGACGTTAAGGTGTCAGTGACGAGATTGTTTGGTGGTCTTACAAAGACATAGTAATTGCTATAGTTGGGAAGATGTTTAGGACCTCTCCTGGGCACTCTCACTACACTCTCTTTCTATTCACATGCTCTCTCTCTCTCTCTCATGTCCCCCTTTCTTCTCTTTGCTCCATTTCCTCGATTAACTTCAAGTCATCCCTTACATATTCCACTTGACCTCCTCCTTTAAGACCCTCTATTACCTTTTCTTGGGATGTGTGCCATCTATTTATAATGGGAATGAAGGTCGGTTTTGTAAAACTTCAAGGTGAAAGGGGGTTTTAGTAAGTTGGGATTTGGAGAGCTAGGGTAACTTGGAAAGTCGAGAAAATAAGGGCAATTTAGATATTTGGGAATTCAGGAAGTAAAATGGTGCTTTGGTAATTTAGTCAAGGGGCATTTTGGGAAAACGGAATGGGGTATTTTAGGACTTTAGGGAATGAAGAGTAGTACCCTATAAAATTTGGAATGATGGGGTATTAAGGGTAATTTGGAAAGATGGAGGGTATTTTAGTAACTTGGAAAATAAAGCTAGTTTTGGTGATTTGGAATGGAGAATATTTTGGTCATTTAACATGAGAAGTATTTTGGTTATTTAACATGAGGGATATTTTGGTTATTTAGTGCGAGGAGGGTATTAATTGGTTCAATGACGGTTTTAGAGGATTTGGGGTTTGAGATTTTGGAAGGATCATTATGGTTTGATCAAATGTTCAGGGGTGAATTGGGGGTTCAGATAGAGGACTGAACCAAAAGTTAGGTGCTGAGAACATCAAATGGCAATATAGGCTTTGAATTTCGAATATTTGATGATGTTTATCTTTTCTCTTTAGGGTGTTTTTAATGATGAATCCAGCCTGCACATTTGTCTTGGTATCCATTTCTAGGCTTCTTTTCTTCTTTAAGAACTTCTACCTCTTTTTTCTTTAGATGCTTCTTCACTAAGAGTCCCCTTTCACCTCCAATCTTGATTATGGATGAATTTATCAAGGCAAAGAAAATAACTGGTTTGGGTAATTTCTTGATCATCAATGTTAATTGCACACTATTATGACACCTTTTTTCTAAATCATTTTCCCATCATTCTATCTTTGTGTTCAACCCATCTTGAGCGCGGTGAAATATGACTGGAGGGTTCATATAAGTGCTAGACCCAATGCATTAGAAAGAGATTGGTGAGGCGTAAAAAGAGGGTAAATTTCTAAAACATCCCCCTAAAGTTTTTAGTAGTTGTTGAAACCTTCCTTAAAGTTTGATAATTGTGATAACCACCCCTGAACATTTTGACATTGTTGCATGTAGATCCCTTTTGTTAGAATCTTCGAAAAAGAGAAATGAAAATGTCTAAAATATATATGCATTTTCTTTTGATCAAAATGTTTATTTTCCAAATTTTCTCCTCATATGAATCGCTACCCCAAACCCCCAATATTCTTTCTAAAATTCATTTTTTTTCCAAATTTGCCATTCATATTAATCATTCAAAGGCAAAGTTGCAACTTTAAATTCTCTATTTATTTTATTGTTTATAAAATCGTATTGCAATTTACCCTAGAATTAGGAAAGTTGAATATTAGTACCTTGTACTTTGGGCCTAGTCTCACTTTGGTCCCCAAACTTTAAAATATGCAAATACAGTACCTAAACTTTCAAAGCATGCCAATTTAGTACCTACCAATAACCAATCGTTAAGTGACATGAGAAAATATACAAATGCCCTTTGGATGTTGATGATGCGTGATTTGGTGCTCCCTATTGGAGTACAGCTTGGATGCCAAACTAGCTAGGTCTCCTGGTCGAGCTGCAATAGAAGATAAAAAAATCAGGGTACCCAAGCTGCTTTACTCTATGTGTGTGCTTTGATGCTTAAGTTAGCAGAGAGTGTTTGGATAGAGTTTTTAGTGCTTAATCACGCATCCCTTCTTTAGTAGGGGGTGCCTTTATATAGGCACAAGAAATCAGGAGCCTCATGTAACGCATCCAAGATCTCCGGGAGGATGTGTCCACTATCATTGGAGGTAGTTCCTCAATCGGAAATGGAATTTACATAAAGGGATGAGGCTTATCTAATCAGTTCCAAAGCAGATGGCGCAGGGAGACAGGTCTGCCAGATGAGTGGCATGATCCAGGAGGAGTCGGGGAGACCAGGCGCCACATCGAGCAGGTCAGCCATTGGGTCTCAATCAAGTTGGTTAGGCCTCAAGGGGAGGTCTCCCCTAAAGTTGAGGTCATAAGCAAGTCGCTCCTCCTAGTGTCAAGCTACCTGACTTGGCAACAAGCAGGTTGCTCCTTGTGCTTAGCTCCCTGACTTGGCAGCAAGCAGGCTGCTCCTTGTGCCGAGATCCCTGACTTGGTAGTGAGCAGACCACTCATTGTGTCGAGCTCCCTAACTTGGTTATGTTCAGGTTGCATGACTTGATCTCCAAGGTAGGTCCAAGTCATCCTACGTGGCTCTGAGGTATCAAGCGACAGGTAGAAAGTGTCACGTGGTGTGTTTGTTAATGGAGGGCCAAATTCCCCATCATCATCATATGTCATCTAATTTAGGTCACTGAGCAATGTTTCTATGATGGGTTTTATGCAACTGTACATTGTTCACTCTATTTAGTGTCAAGGTAGAAATGATGAACAATGTTTTTTGAAGGATAATTTTGATATTTTAAAAGTTTTAAATCACACATACCATCACATGATATAGATAATTTAACGGACTAGTAACGATAGGTATTAAATTGGCATGTTTTGGAAAATTTAGTTATGACAGTTTTGAAATTAGGGGACCAAAGAGAGACTAGCCCAAATTATAGGGTATTAAGTTACAATTTTCCATAAAAAGGGAAAATTCCCGATTAGTACCCCGTACTTTGAGCCTAGTGCCACTTTGGTCCCCGAACTTTAAAATGCGACATTTCAGTATCCAAACTTTTAAAATGTGACAATCTAGTACCTGTCGTTAACTAGCTGTTAACCAATCATTAAATGACATTTGAAAAAAACACAAATGCCCTTCAAGTGTTTTTTAATTTTCTTTATCAACCATCTAAACATTGACAAAAAATTAAAAATCCCAAATCATTGTTTTTTTCATTCAAGAAGGTTGGAGTCACATTTGAATGGACATTTTGATGATCCCAACTTTATTAAATAGAAGAGGCAAGGATTTGAGACTGTTAATTCTTTTATCAATGTTTGGATAATTGATAAAAAAAATTAGATGCCATTCAAAGGACATTTATGTTTTTTTTCAAATATAACTTAATTGAATTATCCATTTTAAAATTAGAGGACCAAAGTGACAATAGGACCAAAATATCGGATACTAATCGAGAATTTTCCCTAAAAAAAATAAAAATAGATCTGCACGCGGGAGTGGTGTTAGCCTTCCTCCTGCAGTCCTGCGTATTAACTCTCGCCGTTCGCGAATTACTCTAATCGGTGCTCCTCGCACTTTCCCGATTCAACCCCTCGCCGAACTGCTCGCCGCTCCGATAGCTCGCTGATAACTGGTATGGATCTCTCGTGTAGTGCCATTATAAATTCTTGGTTTTGTATTTTTCCGGCTTATTGTGATTTGGATGTAATAATCGAAATGGGTTCATGTGATTCCTAAACATTATGTTGTTTTGTCGATTACTTTCTCATGTCTTTATCTGAGCATGAATGGGCAGATAGGTTTCTTATTCAGACTTTCTCTGATTTAAAGATTTCTTTTTCTTATTTTTATTTTCCCTGCTTTTCATGCAGTAGAAAAAACTCCAAATTTTCTTTAATGGTGTAGATTTAGCGTATTTAATGGTTGTTGGTATATTATCGGTCACGAAATCAGGTTAGTAGGTAATAAGAGGGATCGTGATGTTTGCTGTGGTTAGTTTATTTGCTTGAAGGTAGTGTAGCGCGAGATCAACATCGGTGTTAAACCTTTTTCATCTGGAAGCTTAAGCAAGACAATAAGTTGTGATGCCCTTGGATGCAACAGTTGAGGGAAATATTGTACTTAGCAAGGGAGTTAAGGGTACAGTTTAAGTGGGCAGATTTTGGTCTGTTTAGCCATCCTTTGGATAGTTATAGTTGTATTTTTTTAATCTTCTTAGTGAAAGTAGAGATACCAGAAAATGAAGAGTAAAGATTGTACTGAGAGACCCTTTAGATGAGAAATTCTCATCATAACAATTTTCGCTATGAAATCCTTTAAATTTACGAACAAGTGTGCCCATGATCCACATGCGAACATGAACAATCACGTCATTTCGTGTTTTAAATACCCACAGGTCAAGAAAAAGCCCTGGTTCGAACTTCGAACGTTTTGGGCTCTCCTTCCTTTTTTTTTTTTTCCATTTTCTCTTACAGTAAACCGATCTTTCATTTTTCATGTTCTCGTATAAACACTCATTTTTCATGTTCTTTTATTCAAACGGGTCAAATCTGTCTTTCTTCGTTCTGTGCTTTCTAGTAACGCAGAAACGACGATTCACTCCACAAGAAAGCACATCCCATCATTCGCTCCATTTCCAGGAACGCACATCCACAGGTATGCTTTGAACTCCCATTCAATCATCACGGTCTTTCCTTTTTTTCCCTCTTTCTATTGTTCTTGAATTTAGAGGTTGAAGGATTTTGGAAAGCCTCTGGTTTTTTGATCGACTGATTGGGCGTTGTGGGTTCAGAGCTCAACCCTAGATGCTGTTTTTGGCCTAACTTGATAAAGTTGCCGCCTTTGTCATATTCTATTGGAATGCAATTTGTTTCGAGTTTGAATTTTATTGATCTCTTTTCTTATTCTAATAATCTCTCTCTCTGTCTCTCTCTCTCTCTAATTATTGTTGTGTATTTATTTATTTATTTTTGGTTGGTTGATTGATCTTTGTCTTTCAATTTGATTGCTTTAGTTGATTTTGCATTGCTGGGATTTCTTATTTCTTACTGTTGAGAATAGGTATTTCAGACTGATTCGAATCAATGGGACATTGGGCTTTAAAAGAAACATAAAACAGAGGAATTGGAAGTTGGATTCACTGGAAGTTACCAAGATTTAGTTGGAATAGCTTCTTTAGGAAATACTAGAGCATTCACGAAGAGGAGTTGGTGGATGAGATTGATGGTTAAGTTGGGAATTGCCTCCATTTGCTTGGGCTGTCTAGTTAAAAGAATCATATGAACCAAGGATACTGGATGTGTATTTTCCAGGATTCATATTTTGCTTCAAAGTTGGGAATTGCCTCCATTTGTTTGGGCTGTCTATTTCAAACTTTAGAATTTACATTTGAAGTTATATACACAGGATTCAAACCCTGCTTTGAAAAAAAAATGATTACATGGCAATTAGCAACATATGTAGTATGTATGCTAGCATAGAAAAATCAAAGACTGGAAGAAATAACAGTAGAATTCAGGATTCAAAGAAATTTCTCTTCATCTTCTTTGGCACACCTGCTGGGGAGATGTTGAGCTTAAGGCAGAAATTCTAGGGAGCATTTTTAAAGTCAATTTTGATTGCAGGTGGTAAATTCCAACCTAACAATTCTTCTCTATTGTTTTTCTATTTTTCTTCTTCTCTTGTTTGTGCTGAATATCTAGAGGAAAATTAACAAGCCACAATTCCTACACTTGTCTTAGTGTGAAACCCTCAACTTATTCTAATAAGTCAAAGGTTTCATGTGAAGTAAATCAGTAATAGGTGGATGATCATGTTTATTTTTCTCTAGAGTATTAATTAGATTTACCAAAAAAGTGAACAATAAATTAAGAATCAATATAGTAGAGTAGTTTGAAGTGGATTTATGTTTAAGAGTTGACATGGTTTTATGTATTTCTCATTTGAAGATTTGATCCAAGGAAATAGGGTGATGTCAAACGTGATTCGGATTCTGAGAAACAGGAATTAGATGAATGTGTCAAATGCATCTGCAAATTTTGAAAATGAGAATTCTCAGAATCCATTCTTTTCTTGAAGGATTCTGAGAATCAGAATTTTTAGAATTGATGCCAAATGGGGCCTTAATTTTCTGTATCTTCTTAAGAAAAGATCTCATTGAGATAAAAAACCTTAAAATGCGTAGATGACAATGGGAGATTATTTTGCCTAAGAGGCTTCTAGTATACTCTTACCCACTTGAGATATGACCAAATTTGTGCCCCTTACAAAAATGATCTCTTCATGTAGGAGCCAAGCAAGAATAGGAAGCAACTTGTAAAAATGTCCTACTTGTGTGTGTGTGTGTTGGGGGGGGGGTGTGATTTGACCCTGTTTGCTTTTGTTACCCAATCCTTTTCTTTTCTCCTTGCATTTGTATAAATGCCATCTTGTTGTCTTCTTAGTTTAACTTGCCCCCCATTAGGATTTCAGTTTCAAGTAGGGCTTAAGGGATCTTGGGAGTGAAGAGGTAGTGATTTTCTTTAGACTTGCTAAAGGATGTCTTTATGGACCTGAAGGGTGTTGATGTGAGGGTTTTGGGAGGCCAGTGCAAATTGTACTTTCTTTTTCTCATCTTATGTAGATTGCTAAATAGTAATGCCTCAAGTCCTCATTCTTCCTTGTCAGAGCTATCTGATGTGGTCCCACCTCATCTCTATTTGAAGGTGATTTAGAAGAGTAAAATTATTGGTGATTTATTTCAGCAGAGGATAAAAGGCTTGGTTCCTAAATCTTTCCCATGTGTTTTTCATATGTAAGAATAGCAAAGAATTGGCAAATCATGTTCTTGCTTCACATTACAATCTAGTGACTTAGATTTGGACTTACTAGATTAGCCTTTGGAGGAAGTTTGTCTACCTGATCTGCCTACTTTATGCTTGTATTTTTCCTGTTCTCTTTGTCCTTTCCCTCATCCCCATAGATGGAGTGTCTTTTTATTTTTAACTAGTGAAAGACCCCGTAATAAGTACGGGGAATCAGTAATGTTAAATTTACATTATGGAATCAATAATGCTAAATTATACTTATTAATATTTTAAATAATTATTAAAATTTCAATAAATATTTATTTAAAAAAATAGCTTTTCAATAATTACTAGAATATGGATAGTTTTCTTTTGTTATGATACATAGAGGGTTAATGATTAACTGAGATTGATAGAATGTAGGCAGAAGTGGTTGTGGATAACCACTTTTGCATTTTCTGCATTTTTTAGGAATGGATTGAAAACGGTGGTAGTGGGTTGTGGGCTTTAGCAACAACTTCTCAAAAAATGCCACATGTCTAGCTTTTCAGAAAAATGAGAAGGCCATGTGTTTCAATGGTGGGGGGCTGTAGCCTGGTAGTGGGTTGTGGGCTTTAGCAGGAATTTTTTAGAAATTGCCATGTGTCTAGCTTTCTAGAAAATGAGAAGGCCACTTGTCTGAATAGTGGTAGTGAGCTGTGGACTTTAACAACAACTTCTCAAAAAAATGTCATGTGTCTAAATTTGAAAAAGCCACGTGTCTGAATGGTGGGGGTTTTCAGGTCTTTTTAAAGATTTTATCCTTTGGAACATTGGTTGCATAACATCAATGTGCATAAGGTAAATTTATGAATCCACTTCTCTGCTTAGATCACTTATTTCTGCTCCTTGTTTTGCTTCCACTCTACATGCCTTAAATGTTGAATTAAAAACCAAAAGAATTATCTCATATAGCTCTATCAAAAGTCAAAACCTAACTGAGAAAGAAATTTTACAATACTTGCCACTGATCCAAAAGAATGCTTCTTTAGCTGCTCAAACAGCATAATCAAAATACATATTGGATCCATAGAGAAAATTCAGCTTCTCTATGTTTCTCTTTAGGCTCCATTTGGGAAGAGCACAAAAACCGGTTCGGTGCATAAATGCACTTCGGGTCACTTTTCCCGTTGTTTGGTAAAGGTGTGAAAGAACCCCGAAAATCAAGTGAAAATATGCAATCTTGTCAGTATTTTCCCTCGATTTTGACACATAATTTGTACATCAAAATTTTGGAAGCAAACCTGTGTTCTCATTTTTCCATCGATGGAAATAGAACACTGATTTTTCTCTCTCCATCGCCTCTTGTCTCCGAGGAACTCCACGGCTGAGTGTCATCAATGGCTACCTTCATGCAGCTCTCTTGTCAAAGTGGTTGTCACATCCATCAAGAAGAAAACCCTAAACCCTCTCACGAATGCCTCTTTTGTTATTGTTTCACAACACAAGTTCGTCATAACCCCTGTGATTATCACCTCCTTAATTCCCCTATCCACCAAATACTGTTCCAACCCCTTCCCTTGAAACACACTGTAAGTGTTCTTCTCCACCACCTTGTCGCCGCCCTTCTGGCCCAACTTAGGCAACAGTTTCACCTCCACTGTCTTGTCGATGATCAGGTCGTTGTTTCACCACTCCCCCAGTATGCTGTAGCCTGACAGTGACTTGTGGCAGTGGCGGGTGAAGATTATTGGCACCGAAACACTTTGACAGAGATCGATGATCATATTGATGGCAGGCAGAATCGGCTTCCCCATCAATGAGAAGTAGTTCTGCATGCTGATTACCAGGAGAAAATGTAGGGGAGGCCTGCAGTCACCAATTCCCTGTCAATCGGCTTCCCCATCAATGAGAAGTGGTTCTCTTACTGATCTCGAATTTCTTGTAAGAAGAGCATGAATCCCCCATTTGCTGAGACAAACAAGAGTTCTCTAACATCCGAATGCTCACGATTACAGTTCGCATTTGCACTCTTCCCAAATGGAGCCTTATGGTTGTCTCTAACCAGTGTCATCCTGCAAATCATGTAAATCACTTTCTAGAAAATATCAAATTACCAATAATCAAAATCTCCTTTCATCTTCTTCATCATTTCTTACTTATGATAATACATATGATCTCTGTTTTTATTGTAATATTCTAGTCTCTACATCATTTCTTGCTTTTTTTGTGTCAACAATTTAGTGTTCAAATTTTCTCAATGGGACAATGCTCTAGACCTTAGAATGTGATTTTGGAATTTCAGAGCAAATGTGTATCCAATCCACAAATACAATAACTCCTGACCAAGGAAAAACAGTTAAAAGCATTAATAAAACAAAGAGATAGGCTCTGACCAAGTGAACATCAAGTGAAAAGGGCAAAATTTCTTATGGTGTTTGTTAAAGGAGAGAAACAGCGTCATTTTTCTGGTGTTTATGTTTTCGTCTAATTTGAAGCTTCAAGTATTAATTTAAAATAGTATATCACATGCACAAGTGTATTTGTATTTGTCTGCACATGTGTGGATTGGAGAAATACTTCCACATGGTCTTGTGTTCAGGATATATTCAATCTAATCAATCTTCCTCTTGTTCTCCTTTCTTCCCTGGCTATGCACTTTAAGGCTCAGTTTGGAAAGAGTACAAATACAAATATATACAGTGCAAATACATATGAAATAGTACAAAATACAAAGGTTTTGCACTCTATATTTGTATTTGTACTCCTTCCAAACTGAGCCTTGGGGCTTAAGTTAAAACTTTTAAGATTATACATGATTATAGCTTTATATTATTTCATATTTAGAATTCATATTTTGGATTTCATATGAAACTATGTAAAGGAAATTTATCTTTATGCTATAAAAATGTTTAATAGTAACAACTTGAACTGTGGTATCAGTGTCATCTTTTTGTTTATTAACAATTAACAAATGGTTTTATTCATAAAAAAAAATAATAATAATAACAAATGGTTATTGGTTAACCAGTCCACCATTACATGAGAAAAATATTTTTCTACTCTCAGGAATAAAGAATAATATCATGAAGCAATGCACAGAGTTGCTTAATACCAGATTTCTGAGAGCTTGTTGTCTAAGCACTTGTATCATTCTCCAATCTAGTGTTTAGGAAAAGATATTCATGACTATCTTGGATGCAATATACACTTTCTAATTAATGAAGAAGACTTTTTTTTGAGAAACTAATAATTAATGAAGAAGACTTTATTTTCTTAGGGAAGAAGATCAAAGTAAAAAAATAGACAGAAGGCTGATGAGAAGAGAAACAAAAGTTTAGGTCTAAAAGCAACAAGAGGAATGTATGATGCAGCAAAGCCAGTCTAGAGAGAGACACCCGATCTAGCAAGATCATTAGGTTCTGTTTGTTGGTGCAAAATTTACAACTCAAAAGCTGATGGAAATTTTACTTATCATTAATAAAGCTGGTGCAATTTTTTACCATCTTCCTACTTCAATTCTCTCTCACATAAACTGGGGACCACATCATCTTGCTTCCTACCTCACTCCCAAACAAATAACCCTCGTACTACCCCCATTCTCTTTCATATAAGGTGAGAACCACATCATTTCACTTCTCATAAACAAATAAGACAGTCAAATCTGGGGCTAAAGTAAACTGGAATTTACACTAAGCCTATTTGCACTGCCATGCATTTACACCAATGCAATTGAAATTTCCACTGCAAACAAACCTTGCCTTAGTAACAATATTTAGCAGACAGAGAATTCAAATGAACAAGTTCCACTTCAACCTGGAAGTGAAGGACCATGCTTCCCTGATGACATGAACAAGGTGCCACTGGACCCTTGACAGCCCTCTTATCCATTTGTTTGGTCTAGGATAACTTCTATCCCAATCCTCTAAAAACCAAGTGACAGAAATAGTTTAGGCTGTGATAGGAGCAGAACTTTGGCTTTAATAGTACCCCAAGCCCAAGGTTTTCCAGTAGAACATGTGTTAAAAGTTCAACATGATTCAATTCACCTTGGAGCCTCTCCTTTCTCCTCCCCTCACTCGAAGCACCACTCCCATGTGGAAAGAAGAGTCTAGAAGCAGAATGCCCCTTCCTGGTCACACTCTTGAACACAAATAGAACTGCAGTTGCTTTGGTGGTAATGTTACAATTGTGATATTTTATTACAAGAGGTACATGCGTATGTTCTCTCATCTACTCAGTGCCATATTTTTTAATACAATTCCATACTTGCATTCTTCAAAGGAAGAAAGATCGATTGATGGTCATTAAGTTATCAATCCTACTATACTCTAGACTGCAATGTTTTGTAAGTGATATTTCTGCTTTTAGAATTAGCTGCTGAAAAGGTTGAATTTAATTGAAGGTATCTCTGAATTGATCATGTCCACCTTGCCATGCAGGCTATGGGTTTCTGGAGGCTGATGGAAGGTTTTCTGCTTCTCGCAAATGCATTGGCAATATTGAATGAGGACCGGTTTCTTGCTCCTAGGGGATGGAGCTTTTCAGAAGTCTCAGGAGGCAGGACTAAAACGCTGAAAGGACAGCTTATAGGGCTCATCTATGCAGTCCAGTACTTGAGATTGCCTCTGATAGCTCTCAATATCATTACCATCGTTGTACAGCTGGTATGGTGATAATGTTGAACAGGTGAAAGAGACATGATGGCCTGAATACGTTAGTCAGATTTTTGTCCAACAACTCTGTTGTATCTCGTGATATGTTGTGGTTAGGTTAGGAATGTTTGTAAGATTACTGAGGTTTCTGACTCTTGCACTATTTGAACCATAGTGTGTTGGATGTTTATGCTAGATGCTGTAAGGTTTCCTTTCAGAGAGAGAGAGACTTCTGCTGAAACCATTTCATCCCCCTTCGTTGGAGGAGAACCGGTTGGAATACCATTTTAATAGATCCAATTTGTAATAGAGAAATGTCTTGTTTAGTTTCGATTATTTTTTATACCTGATATTGTTTCATTTATTTCCTTTTTGGCCCATTCTAGGTTTCAAATAGCATATGAAGTATTCAATACTGATAGAATTAGGCCACGATGGACAAATTATATTCTCTGAAACTAATTAGGGCTGTAGCCTGTTGGTAGTCCTACTGTATGATCTATTTATCCTTGTGCATTGGGAGTCAGTCTTACAGTGTAGATCAAAAACCTGTTGTAGTTTGACTTCAAACAAATGGCTTATTACAGGCAGTTGACCTCTTGTCATCATTATCTTAAAGATAAAAGAAGGAAAAAAAAAGTGAAAAACTCTGATTATTATATGTTACGTGGTTCATTACCCAAACTCCATTAGAAAGCTAGGGTTATAAAACTAGATTTATTTGTGTTTGGCTTTCCTTCCTTTTCCTGCCTTTTCTTTCCTCTCCCTACATTTTCTTTAAAACCAAACGAGATCACATCAGCGGCCCACAGGCACCCCACATGCATATCTCAGTGTGCATTGGATGATCCCAATACACAATTGGGATGTGCTGTGGCTCAAACCAAACACAGCCTAAGAGTCTGAGAAGGTGGGAGCATTTCTTCTAAAGTCTATTAGGTTGTATTTGGATCATGGGAGTGGAATGTGAATTCTCTTTGTGCAGGCTCCTTTCCCATGTTTCTAATTCCATGAAGAAGAAGAAGGTGGGAAGGCCACTGAATTTATAATTAAAAGGTTCATTACTCAATTGTTGGTCTTAGACTGAATTTATAAATCCAATTAAAAGGTTCATCACTCAATTGTTGGTCCTAGCTATTTGTGGGGGTGTTGGAAGGGTGAGCTAGACAGACATGGGGCTGGAGCTAACCTTTGGGATTTTTCTGCACAAAGTGGATGTTCTGGCCTCGCCTCTCAGGCTCAACCTGCGATCTAATGTCTTTTAGCCTGATATTTTACCATAGCACCAGGCATGAGCCCATAATTGATAAATCCAATTCTACCCTCCAATTCCAAATACACTGTAATCTGAACAGAGGCAGAGTCCGGATCTGTTCCTCACACCGTCTTCACAGCATGTTTTGGATGCACATCGAGAACATTTTTTATACTTGTATTTAATATTCATAGTAAGATGTTCCCATTATACGGTGGGATGTGACTGTGGGATTGGTATGAGGAACGCTCTATGAGGAGCAGATTCCAATTAGCCACAGAATGGGTTTAAATGGAATATCGACTCCCGATATGTGACTGCCGCTAATTTCCCTTTTCTCTTTTGTTCTTCCTTATTTTCATCAAATTCAAATCTGAAAATATTGGACTCCCAATTTAGGGTTACCAGTTGCCAACCTTTTTTACTCAGATTTTTTTACCAAATATTTGATTGTTCAGAAAAAGGGATACACCTAGGTTCTGGACCACCATGAAGAAACAACAGAATCTCGGTTTCTCTTCAAAAAGTTGGTTCTTGCACCCACTTCACAGCATTTGAGCTATTGGGAACATTATCTCATGAATAAAAATATACAAGTATGGAAATATTTCCAATATTATTAGCTTGTGAATGGCCCAGTTATGAAGATGGTCATTTGACATCCTTCCAAATAGGATGCACAAAATTAAACCTACGGATTTACAGTAAAACAAAATTCTCCATATTATAGCCAGTGGGCCTCGTGCATCCTACTTTGCCTCACCCTTGTTCCTCTATTACCTGGGATGGTTGAACCGGTGAACTTTCAGAGACTCCGTCTTTTTACAGTATTTTTGGCTCCAATGAGCTTACCGATTTTATGTCCAATCTGGGTTTAATAGTAGCCCCTTTCTTTGTGCTTTATCTTTCTTTTTCTCTTTTTTCTTTTTTTTTTTTTCTTTTTAACAAGCAATTGTATTTGAATGGTCAATCACGGCATTCTCATTAAATTTTTGAATGTATTAATTAGATTTAAAAAAAAAGCATTGACGATTTTTTTCCTTGTCAACTGGATCTCTAGGAGTCATCAAATTGAGGGCGTAATTGAAGTATATGTTTGGCATCAATGCTGCAGATGTAACACCATTTTTGCTGTATATGTGTAGGTTGGAAGCACTGTTTTTTGAGAAAACGGTCTCTTTGTTTTTTGTTTGGAAATGTTACTACCAGGTAGGACATTTACTGAAGCAACAATAACACCTTCTGTTTGGTACCAGTTCTTCATATCTGTTTTCAACACGGGTACCCATTATAGGAAGTCAACGTCACTACCACATCATGTTCTCATTGGCAGCAACGAGCTCCAATATGAGAAAATGCCGAATTCAACATTATTCCAAACCACACCTTCTTGATTTCCAAGACATGGCTTGGAGCACCGTTTTTTATGAAAAAATGGTTCCAAACATATTGACGTTTCCTGAAACACCGATTTTTCCAACATGACACTCATGTATCACTGTTTTTTGAAGCAACAACATTGATGCCAAACACCACCAAAATTACATCGCTAAGACTTATATGGGCCAAAGAGTGACCTCAACCCGAACCAGCCCAGCATTTATCAATTATTTGTTGAGCTAGAAAGGCTGCACATGAGTGGGAATCCCTGAAATGAGATCTAAATTCTTGCCTCAAATGGTTCCGATCAACCCTTTTTATAGTTGCCATCCCTTTTTGCATATCCTTAATTATTAGGTTGTCGTGAGAAAGATGAGGACATGATTAATGTGAGGATATCTTTTTTTTTTTTTTTTTTTTTGCAGAAAAGCATCTCACTTAGTGCTCATCTTACTGGTAAGGGAGTTTCGATTACTGAAATATCTCTGTTGGAGGTAGATGACCCTATGATTTGGTGTTTTCATGACTTTTGTGCCATTCGTAGATGACCCTATGATTTGGTGTTTTCATGACTTTTGTGCCATTCGTAGAGATTGTTCAAACTATTTTCTCCCAATTCTCATGGTTATCTTCTTCTTTTATTCAAGAGTAGTCTGATTTATAATTGTATCCTTTTTTTGTTATTTGATTTCTCTGGACTGTAATATTTATTAATGAATTCTGCCTTATGGCTTCAAAAAATAAAAGTTATGCCTGATCAACACAAGCGGTTATGGGAAAGGCATGACGGGAAAAACTTTGGCCGTTAGGAGCTAACAGTCTATGCTGTTGAGAGTGTTTTTGGGAATGCCACGTTATCTTGACAGTGGGAGAATTAGTAATTTCCCCTATTTTATTTTGACCAAAAAGAAAGACATGGGCGTGAATAAGTGAATGTGTCCGGCCCAAAAACGAGTCCGGATCTCTTGCCCACGAGAACTCTGCCCATGTTTATCGCAGTCACACATAGAGAACATCTCATCCTCTACATAGTATTATGCAGGGGGATATGTTTCCAATTCACAAGGGGTAGTGTATTGTGGGTAGGCATGGGCAGAGTTATCATGAGCAAGAGATCCAAAGTCCCCAAAAACACTCTCAACAGAAAAGGTTGTTGGCCCCAAGCAACTTTCCCAAGCCTTTGTCTATTTGTTAACCTAGACACATGCCACCATTTGCATTTTAATTTTCTAATATCTATTTTTTATAACTTCATTAATAAATTTATATATTAGAATTATAATCTAAAGTAGTTCTTTAGGATTAAGAGGCCAATTAAGTAACCACCAAAGTTATTGAATTGAATGGCTTATTGCTTTTTAGTGGATAAAAATTCATGTTGGTGTTTGATAATAATCAGACCTTAGAAGTCTGAAAATGTTAATTTTCATATGCTAGACATGTTTGAATGTGTGTTTGAATAGAGGTATGAAATGAATTTTCAAATCTGAACTAATAAGACACAGGCCAAGCATTGAACACGATCATACACGTTTCAGACCTGGCCAAAAGACCAAAATAACCTTAAAATGATTTGAACTAATAAGACGCACGTTTCAGGCACTATTCATTTTCTCCACTTGACGAAGCATCGAACCAGTGACAACAAGCTTCTTCCTCTGGCCTTCTTTTTCTTCTTCTTCTTCTTCTTCTTCTCTCTCTCTCTCTCTCTCTCTTCTTCCTTTCGTTCGATTCCCTTGTTCTCATCGCCCCTTTGTCCTCGATGCTCCCTTGTTCATCACCACCGGCCACCACTCTTCCCTCTCTCTCTCTTGCAAAGACTAGTTGTTGGAAAACATTCCATTCTTCTCCCTTTCTCTCTCTATCTCTTTTAAGGGTAAAATAGTAAAATTAAGCAATTTCAGATATTGAAGAACTAATCTAACACAAACAACCTTATCTATTTTTCAGACATCAGATTTATCAAAAGTCACTTAATTAATAAAATATTCAACAGCATAATATTCTACCCAAGGTTTAAAATATCGTAACGTATCGGGCCGTACGTATCGTTTCAGAAAGAACCCGATACATGGAATGCGTATAAATCATTTGTTCCGTTTCTTTTCGTATGTATTGGCTAATACAGGCCCATATCGGGCCATTTCGGATATGTCGATAAGTTGGTTCCCCTTCTTCCATTAATTTGTTAATCCTATATTTATGTTTAACTTTTCCTTCTTTAATTAGTCCTATATTTAAGGAAATTTTAAATTTAAATTTGAATTTTAGTGCCTAATTAATGATCCTCTCACTCATTAATTTCATTTTGTTTGTATAAAAAGCTACAAATATTAACAATTGCAAAACTTGAAACTTGGTCACTAGATTTTAACACCCATAACTTTGCCACTAAGCTACTCAATTTTGTTTGTTATAATTATATACATTTTTAGTTTTAAGTAAATTTTATTTTACTGGTGCTTATTAATAAATGCTGAAATTAATTATTAAAAATCATATACTAATAAATATTAAGATAAATTATATTAGTTATTTGAAAATTGATGTATATATTCACATTTTAGTTTTTTTTGCTTTTTTCACATTTTAATTATTTCATTATTTTTCAACGGTTATTAATTATATGTTAATATGTCACATTTTATTTTCGATATTTGAACTTGATTCAATCCAATTTCAGCATCATCCGTGCCTACGATCTTACTTTATTTTATTTACTAAAGAAGAACATTCTGAAAACGTGGAAGTCTACCATGGTCTATCCATTAAAAAAAAGAAAGATTTCAAACCAACGGTTAACATGGTGAGAGAAAAGTCAATTATGAATCCAAATGCATTTATTACAAAATTCTAAAAATACTCTTTGATGTGACTAGAAAGATCCAAACAGCTCATATGCCGTAATCAAGCATTCAACCTCCCAAAACACATAAGAGTCAATTGCAAATCAAACCATCGAAGTGCATATGCTAATGCTAGGCATTCCACTTTTGACTTTAAAGACACACCATGTGACGTGCCCCCGTACCGCCCTCCTACTCCCCTGCAGTCGTCTCGCTTTCAAATTCCTTTGATGGCAAATTCTCTTTTCTAAATTGGGTGGCGTAATTATTTCTCACGACTAAACATTGCTGTCCTCATCCCATCCCATGCATCCACCAACGTATAAAAGTAAAATTAAGGGGGCGTTTTTTTTTTGGATTTCCAGAGGGAAAAGATGGTCAATGGGATTTAGATTTTCATCGTCCAATAATTCTATGTTCATTTTTAAGATTTATGTGAGGACCGGGAAAAGTTTATTTTCCTGGGTACCCTATCTCTTAGGTAGGTAAATAACTTTCCCACATAAGGGGAAAGGTGCCAACGCTTAAATAGGACAAAAATGTCCATTTTAATAATAGATTTTTATGGCTAAAATGATCATTGCATTATTTACATGAGAAATAAAAGAACATGGGTAAATGCACTTACCTAGGTAAGTGTTTCCTAGGAAAAATTTACCCAGATAATTGCATTTACCTAGGTAAGTAACTTACCGAAAAGCGAATGGGGCCTAAGAGGAAATTAGCGATGATAATAAACCAGTTCGGGATAAGTTTTTACAAGATACTAACAGCATTTTTGTGGCGAATCTAGAGGTTTTGTCCTCACAAAAAATGTATTTACACATGTTGGATTTAATTTCATTAAAGATTAAATTGAACGGGTGTTTGATTGATTAGTTGCATGAAAAAAATATACATACATGCATCTTAAAAAATGGTTTTGAAGTTTTAGCTTGTTTTCATCCTTTTAATGCTTGTTATACATTAAAAAATTATTAAATTTTGGGTTTTTAAAGAAGAATTTTCTTATACTTTTTAGAAGTATAGAAATTTATTATCGCATAATATGTATGTCCAACGCAATGAGGTGTTTTAGAGGCACACATTGTTTGCATGGTTTGAATGAAGTAACTATATTTTTAGTACAATGACACATAATACGAGGAGAAGAATTGCGATAACATAGTATGAAATCGCAGACTACAGATTTTGCAAAATTGCAGATCGAAGACTACAGGACTTGTGAAATCACAAATCGTCGATTGCAAATTTTGCAAAATCGCAAGTCACGCATTGGGTAGAATTGTAAATCACAATTTATGTCATTTGCGAAATTGCAAAACCGTAAGTAATGACTCACAATTCACAAATAGACACTCAGAAAGTCGCATTTGATTTGAACCGTACATAATGGTGTGTTTGGTTTTGAAGGCTAAACAATGACGTTGACATTTTAAGTTAATCCAATGGCCATGACTTGATCGGGTGTGATCAAAAGACATTATTCAAACGTTAACCGTTAACTAACTATGAATAGTCATATAATTTGAATTTGTGACTGTGCAAAAAGCCTTTTCAGAACAGACACACCCCTTATTGTGAAAACTCATTAGAACATACACACAAGTTTTCGATCACTTCTCATTGCAAACACACTTGTCTCTCTCAGTCCTATACGCTACTATCTTATAAAAAGTTTCATTGGAGAATCTTCAACTTTACTAGTTGTAATTTCATACTCAAGGCTCTATTATATCATAAGAACGAATTTGCCTATAATCCAACAACAAACTCAGTAAAAACTGAGTAAGAGCAAATAACATTCTAAAAGCAATATCTTTAGATATGCCTTAGAGCTAGAGCATCTCCTTTAAGTTTCTATGATCCCAATTTCCAAAACATAAAGCTTTACGGTCATGTATTTGAAATATCTTTTACCAATGAAAATTCGATTTCCATTTTGGCCTAATCTGGTATGAGCATTTGGGTTCATCATTCTGATTTATGATCGTGAGAGTTTAACAAGAGTTTTAGGGTCAAATTGGTTTTTGCCTATAATTCAAATCAAAAGGCCCGTTTTTTATTCTTACTATTTGTTTGGTCTGAATGGGATTTCGGTTCCCACTTTTGGTGGAATGGGGCTCTCCGTTATAGGGAATGGCCATTTCAAATTCCCCCTTGCGAATGGGATTCCCATCCCATAATTTCTAAGTAAAGAACTCTTGACAAATAAATCTCTAAACTCTAGCATTAATAAAATATTATCAAAGTAATAATAAGATAATAATAAAAAACTATAAAATATTAGTAAATAGTAATAACATAATAGTACCATAATAAAAATTAATAAATTTATATTAGAATATAAATATTTTAATTATTAAATTGATAACAAAATAATGGTAATGCAATATTAATAAACTATTAATAAAGTAATAAATTATTAATAAGTTTGTAATAAATACTAGTAAAATAATAATAAAATACAAAGATATTAAATATTAAATACTAATTAAGTAATAATAATAATATAACAAAAATAATAAAATATTAATAAATTAATACAAAACTGAATTTTTTTTTGTTGATTTTGATTTCAGCTCAAAATGAATAAAATAGTACAGATTGGAATATGAATAAATTCGAACCAATCAAACATGGGGAATAGGTTATAGGTGGTTCCAACTCTAATTCAGGGGATTTTGATTTGGATTCCAACTTTGATTTTGACCATAAATCAAACAGACCCTTTAGATACAACCCTCCTCCTTTATTCGTGTTTGGGATTAGTGGTATGGGGCATTCATATTAGGGGAGTTAATTTGAGCATTTGGATTCCATTAATAAATTTATATTTAAAAATATAAAATTTAATGTATGTTATATTTAAAATTTAAAAATATATAATACATATATACCGGAAAAACATGTAACCAATCAACAAGTACCATGAGTTTGCTATTAAAATTAAAAGGAATTAAATAAATAGAATCAATATGTAAAATTTGATGCTGGTTGATTTTTTTTATAGGTTACAAGTTTTTCGGTATATGTCATTCTGGTATTATAGTTGAACAGCATTTTATTTAATTCCTTTTCTAATTTTCTTAACAAAGAGATGATGGTGACTTAGCTGGTGCCTTGGTGGTATCTTCGAGTCGAGCCGATACTCACAAATTGGCAACTTGCCCTTGAGCAAAATCGAGTTTCGGAAACCACTCGAGTTGGGCATTTTAAAACTGGGACTCAGCTCGAATTGAGCTCAACTCAAATTCAATTACTTTAAGAATTGAGATTGAATAAGAGTTTGGCTTCAGACAGGGCAAAGCCTATTCGAACAAAGGTCTTGCATTAACAATTTCTCCGTACTGATATACTTTATTTCATAATGAGATATTTTCAATGTAAGATTGGGAAAGGCTGTTAGATTGGTGTAGGCATAGGTTTGCCCTCCTTGAATAGTTCATGAATTGGCTTAACTCTATTTCCTACCCACATCTATCCATGCCCATCGCTGTAGATAGAGCTTGTTAATAATTTATGGGGAGATATTCCCAATGTACAGATGTAGGAGATCTGAATTGCTCCTTTACACCTCCTATTTGAGGAGGCTAAAGGGATAGGTATATGTGTCAATGGGTCAGGTTAAATGGTAAATCCGAGTTGACCCGACCCTATAAGATGGGGTTAGGGTTAAGTATATTTGGTTTAGAGTTGGGTTGGGATTTTGATTCTTTGACCTGAATCAGGTTTGGGTTTTGGCTAACCTGCCCCGCTGGGTCATGATATATTGTATATATACCATGTATTCTTGCAATTTTTTTACTTTTAATTTTATAGGCTTAAAGTTTATAATTTATTTATATGTTGATTTTGATTTTCTTTTTTTTTTAAATAGAAAAAATAACACCTTAAAATTTATAAAACAATTTCCTTATTTAAATTAACGTATTTTAGATCTTCAAAATGTGTTAAAAAATATATTCAAAATTATACGAGTCCAATCAGGTTGGAGTCAAGTTAAACCCTATAGGATCGAGTTGGGTTCGGGAATCATGTATTTTAAGCCGGTCAGCTCCGATTCAGGTTAGAGTGCTCAAGGTTCGGATTATAATTGAGGCAAACCCGACCCGTTGACAATACGCTACCATCGTTGTATTGCATGAAGCTAATAATAATAATAATAATAATAATTTAAGCGAATTCCCGCTTACACGGACTTTGGTCGCCCACTGAGCTCAGCATAATAATAATAATAACAATAATATAAGCGAATTGCCGCTTACACGGACTTTGATCGCCCACTGAGCTCAGCAATTGACCCGACCCGTCCAGGTGCTTATCCATGTTGTGTTTGTCATCCGGATTTTCTCTCTGTATAGTATAGTCGAATTCTTGATTTTTAGAGTTTTGACGTGGATTGTGAACTGTGGGAGTTGGCCAGGTGGACCGAGACTTGAGGTTTCTAGAGTGGGAAATGCATAATTCGCACCATGCGTTGTCTAAAATGAGTTATTTAAATCTCTTTCAGTCCTTGCTGTTAGGTGATTGGTATTTTGCTTTTGCCTTCTCTTCGGAATCGGATACAGGAGCTGATTTCACGGTCCATCTATGAAAAAATTTTGAGCCGTTCGATCGATCACTTCGCAATATTTCTTCCGTTACGACTCCTAAACCCTCTCGAGTTTTTTCTCAGTTTCGTCGGAATCCGGCATCTCGCCGGCGAACTCTCCGTACTGTAAGTTCCGACATTTCCTTCGCTTTACATTCTCTTCTTTCTCTTTTCTCGTTATTTGTATATTTTTCGAACGTTGTTCTCCTTGTAATAATGTCATTTTCTTGTTAGTTTTGGAGAAATTAATTCAGTGGGGTGAAAAGACATGGGTTTTTAATAATTATTTGGTATAAATGCTTTCTACCAGTTCTTGGGTTGTGTATATTCTGGTTCGGTTTAACTTCTCGATTTTACTAACAATATTTTCACGGGAATTTTCCAAAATGCACCTTAAGATTCGAAGGTATTCTAAGAAAAGTCTGTTTTTCAGTGCTTCTTTTTTATTCTTCTTTTGGTAGGTACATATAACTATGTATTTAGTAGAGAAATTTATTGTGCAATTAATATTTTTTTTCTTTCTATTTTGGTTAATGTTATTGATAATTTTGTATTATTTATTGATATGCTGATGATGGTGGTTGAATTTGGGCTCTTTTGCAAGGTTGAGATGCTTCTTTAGGAATTACAGTGAAACCTGGGCTTTATAGTCTGGGAGTGGCCTTTTCTTTGGTAAATGGGCTGCCTTCATTCAACAGCTAGAAAGCAGTTTTCAGGTCACGAGGACCCTGTAATTCTTGCATCTCAAACAGCTTGTGAGTCGTGATAAACCGTTTAGTCTGCGTGTTTATTCAATACATGAAATTGTAGTAATTCGAGCTGTGCAATTTTGTTAGCTTATTCCATGCAACATTTTATGTTGCGATGATTTCTTATTCCTATTGCATTTAGATTGATAATTAAGGGTATCAGTAGAAGAGAAAGAACAGAAGAGAGTCGTTTTATTTATATTGATTAAAAAACAAAAAGATATGTTGTGAAAAGAACAAAGTATAACTAGAACTGCAAAGAAATCAAAATGAGAAAGAGAAGAACACATAGAGGATTCAATTCCATTACTTCTAATCACTTGTTACAGCCCTATAGGGACATTGTACAATTGACCAAGATACCCTTATAGGAACATTGTACAGACAACCTTAGCATACCATGTGGGCCAGGGGCTCTCTATCCCCCCTAGGAATGGCAATGAGCGGGTTCGGGGCAGGGGCCATATTCCCCATTCCTGATCCCGACTTTGAAACAAATCCTTGTCCTTGACCCCAATCCCCGATGGAGATGGATTCCCTATAGGGACCCGAATCCCCATAATTTTTCAATTAAAAATATTTTTGAAAATAAATTTACTTAAAATAAAGGAAAATTTTAAAATATAAATAATATTTAAAATATATTTTGATAATATAATAAAAAATATTTAATTGGGGTCAGGGAAAGGACTTCACTCATCCCCGGCCTTGATTGGGGGATCCCTATTAATCCCCATCTCCGTCTTTGCCCCTACCAAGGCAATCTCTGTCCCTGACCCCATCGGGTTGAGAAGGTCAGGTACCCAACGGGGATGGGGAAAATTGCCATCCCTACCCCCCAACACCTTTTTGGGTACAACTTGGGTGGGTTGGGCTGGGTTTAAGGCCAACCAAGCTCAACCCTAAGAATTGGGCCTAAGACCCAAGCCTTGATGGAGTCCAAGGTCAAGATGGTTTGTCCAACCCAAGCCCAACACAAATTGAAATTTGATACACTTGTGTTGGGCTGGGCTCGGGTTGGTCAATCAAGCTCAAGCATGCTTATTAGGCCCAAACCATTGAAAGGTTACCCTAAACCTATTTAGCATCAATACTTTAAACCATTAAATAGGAAGGTTTTATATTTTGCGTATATGCATGCATATATGTACCTACTTTGGGTTACTAAGATTGGGCCAGGCCTGGGCTACCTAAGGGCTAGGCCCACATCCATCCTAAGGACCGAAAATCCAAGTCGAGCCTGTGTGGAATTGTAGGCTAGGTCAGTTTGGGGTTGGGTTGGGCCTACCCAAGTTGCACCTATAAGACCCCTCCTTTTCCTGGTGTGGTATCCTCAGCTTTCTTAATACAAGACATTCTTCAAGTCCAAAAGATTAACATGTCTTATTTTTAATGCTTCATGGGTTAGTCATTTTGCCTATGAAATATGTCGAAGGGACTGTTCAAGCTTCAAGGTGATACCTAGATTGATCAAGATTTCCTGAAGCTCCAGCAATTTCATTGAGGAATGTCTATTTACCTTTAAGCAGAACCAAGACTTTTTCGTTTTTGTTTTTCTTCATTTGCATTTGCAAAGAAATATCCTGGAGGAGGCGGATTCTGCACAGACCACTGTTAGTTTATAAAATGAAATTGAGCTACATTTCTGCTTTCTTCAATAAGAATGAACCATGGTATGCCAACCAAAAAAATAAAAAGAAAAAATTTAGACATGCTACTCGGACACTATTTAAGGCATTATAAATAGCATCCACGTTTTCCTGATGTTCTGAGGTTTCAAAAAATAAAAACTGATTATTGAATATGTGCAGTGTTATTTTAAAGCTAGGAGAAGAGGTTCTTGCGTTGCTGAACGACCATGGTTAATTAGAAAATTTAGATAAATCCATGGATGTGCTCAATGGAATAAAAGTAAAATCAGTGAAAATCTAGAATATATCCTTACAAGTATTACATACTTTTGGCATGTAACATTGCTAGGTATAGTTTGTGCAATGCATAACTGGAAGATGTCTTTTATGTTTCTCTCTAACCATCTGAAAAATGGAAAATTGCCTGTGTGGTTAAGACTTCTAAAGCTAACCTTCTCATTGGGATTTGTAATCTTATCTTAGGCATTATCGAGTTGATGCCATCTTCTGTTTAAGGTCTTTAAATATGGTTTTTTCCTTTGATTTAATGCTTTAGAAACTTGACCCTTTTTTTTCTTGATTTTCCAGTCAGTGTCAGTGAAGTTGAGGCACTGTTTGAACTGTTTAAGAGCATTAGTAGTTCTGTGGTTGACGATGGGCTAATAAGTAAGGTAATGTCCAATGGCACATGCATATTCATCATGGCTCCATTTTCTCTGAGCTTTATCACTTGTTATTAGAATATTGAGATGTTCTATTTCCATGCATATCTTAGCTTTTTCTGGCTTGTTCTTACCTTACATCAGGTTTCTTATTTGTATTCTTTGTCATTCAGGCCATGCAGTTGGTGCTAATTTTATCCTATGCTCATCTAATCTATCAATTGTTTTACAAGGCTTTATTTTACCATGTGCTTTAATGTCCTCTGCTAATTAAGAAAGGCAGAAAACTCTAGGTGCTACAATAATTATTGGGTATCTGATTAGCTGGTTTGCAGTTTATCTGACCAATTCATGAGCTTTTGTGCATCTAAGCTGTTCTATATTACTAGTGGCATCTTCTGATAAGACATGATGATCTAGGCTCCTTTTGTGTGATAGGCAAATACCACTTAGATTGAAAGGAAAATTCTATAAAGCAATTGCAAGGTCAACTATGCTGTATGGAGCAGTGTTGGACTGTCAAGAAACATGTCCAAAATGAGTGTAGCAGAAATGTGTATGCTGAGATAGATGAGTGGGAAAACTAGAAAGGATAGGATTAGAAATGAAATCATTTGCAGGAACGTAGGAGCAGCCCCAACAGGTGATAAAATGAGAGAAAGTAGACTAAGATGGGTCAGTCGTGTGCATAGAATACCATAAACAGCACCTGTAAGAAGTGATTTTTTGCAAGTTGAAGGGGCTAGAAGGGCTATGGTTAGACCAAAGAGGACATGGGTAGAAGTAGTAAGAAATGATTCAGGTGCCAATAATTTCATAATGAATATGGCAATAAACAGAACAGAATGACAAAACTGGATTAATGTAGCCGACCCCAATAGTTAGGATAAGGCTTAGATGATGATGATGATGATGATGATCTAGTCTCCTTTTCTTATCAATGTGGCCACTAGAATTGAAGAGTCTTGGTTTGACTTTCCATCACCAATTTGTTGCTGATTCATTGGCTTTCATTGGTGGATGGTTTTGTCACTCTTTTCTCCTATCAATAACCTTCATATCATCCTTCTTTCTGTAGTTGTGTAGATCACCTTTAGAGTTTTTTACAACTGTAATTCATGCTGTCCTGCACCACCATAGAATTGGATCATCTTCCATATTGCACAAACAGAAGGAAGTTTCTATAGCCAAATGAGAGTAGGGCAGGGTTGCCATGAAAGAGAATTAGTAGTTGTTCAGTACTTAGATGACTAGTATTTTTAATTATACCCACTTATTCCAGGACAATAAAAATAAAGCATGAACAGTATCTGGCCAAGCTGTGGGTGCTAATACACAATGCTAACTGTTAGTCTGTTATTCGCATGGATTATATGCTGCCAATGAAAGAATTATTCTAGTGTCCAGGAGAACCTGTATTACTTGTTAACCAGGACTCGTCCTTGTTCTGTGTCTTGAAACGTGAACAAGGAGGAAAGTTCACCGAAAATGTAAGACTACTTACTAAGAGAATAATGTAGACATATGAGAAACATTTAAAATTGGTGAAGAGATATTAAAGAGAGTAGAAATCACTATTTGCTGATTCAGTCAAGCTTCTTGTGA